TAGAATAGAATAGAATAGAATAGAATAGAATAGAATAGAATAGAATTTTTTATTGGCCAAGTATCATTGGACACACAAGGAATTTGTCTTGGTGCAAATGCTCTCAGTGTACATAAAAGAAAAGATATAAGCCAATTCAGATGAGCTTGTAAGAAACAAGAAAATGAGATTGGACAGCCTTCTTCCTCCTTTCCCCCACTGAAAAAGCTCCCTTTGCCCTTCCAGCTCTATTCTGATTCAATCCCTCCGGTATGATATGGTGCATAAGCGCACCAACGTGCCTACCATCCCTGTCCTATTGTTTCTTTTATTTTTCTTATATGTACCCATTTCATGTATTCATAACTATGTATATACTTATACTTATCATCTTGTAAACAATTGACAAATCAAATAAATAAATAAATAAATAATAAAACATCGGGCGGTTCCCCTTTTGTCCACTGGAGGGCGAACGTTTCCGCTAGGTTTCCAGAGGAGGCTGCGAAGAGGAGGCCTTGCCATTCTAGAACACATAACTCGCTCTCCTTAACTCTTGGAGCTCCGCCAACGGGGAAAAGGCTGCAGGAGAGACTTGCAGGGGAGAGATCCAGACGTGACGCCGGGTGGGGGGCTCTTCCCAGGCAAAGAGAAGCTGAGGAGGGAGAGAGATACATGCCCAGCCCTCCTCCTTGTTCAATCCCATGCATGATGGAGGAAGCCACCAGGCGCTCAAAAATTCAACCCTGGGACTCCAGGAGCCTCCAATACCTGGAGGCTGAGGGTCCCCGTGGGCTTTGCAGCCAACTCCATGACTTTTGTAGGCGATGGTTGAGACCAGGAAAGCATAGCAAAGCTCAGATGGTGGACCTGGTGGTTTTGGAGAAGCTCCTGGCTCTTCTGCCCCCAGAGATGGAGGGCTGGGTGCAGGAATGTGGAGCAGAGACCAGCTCCCAGGCAGTGGTCCTGGCGGAAGGCTTCCTCCTGAGCCAGGCGGAGGAGCAGAAGGAGCAGGTTGATTTGCAGGTGAGGCACTTTAGGGAGCTCAAAAGGGAATGGAAAATGTGTTTGAATACTTCACCCTTCCCTCCCAAACTTCTCTAACATTCATAATATGTGGCGATGTCCCACCAATTCTTGTAGGACACTTATTTATTTTATTTATTTGATTTGTCAAGTGCTTACAAGATAATAGGTATAAGTAAAAACATAGTTATGAATACATGGATACATATAAGAAAAATAAAAGAAATAAAAGAAACAATAGGACAGGGATGATAGGCATGTTGGTTTGCTTATGCACGCCCCCTACAAACCTCTTAGGAAAGGGGTGAGGTGAATAGTAGACAGTCTAAGGTTAAAGTTTTCAGGGTTTGGGGAAAAAACCACAGAGTCAAGTAGAGTATTCCAGACATTGACCACTCTGTGGCTGAAGTCGTATTTTCTGCGGTCAAGTTTGGTGCGGTTGACCTTGAGTTTGTATCTATTGTTTGCTCTTGTATTGTTATGGTTGAAGCTGAAGTATTCATTGACAGGTAGGACATTGCAATGTATGATTTTATATACTATACTTAGATCGACCACAAGGGATGGGTATTGAGGTCTTTGAGGTTGAGTTCCGAAATAGGAATACACTTTATTTTGTGTTATGTACATTAATTCTGCTTCTTTTTTCCTTCCTCGTATTGGAAGTGTTGCACTGTGGAGATCAGAGATCGTGAGGGAAAGAAGAATCCATCAAATCCCCCTCAGGAGCTATTTTTCAGGAGGATCCCTTGGGAAGACCCAAGTCAGGACACCTCAGGAGGTAATTGATGATCCTCCGATTACCCAGAGAGATCCCATCTGTCTTATCTTATCTTCTGTAATATACCTCCTCTTATTCTATTAAATATGCATTTTGAAATTATTTATTCCTTACAGAAATACAAAGAATGAAGTTTTCTGGTTTTTCTGATGGAGCTCAAAGAGTGGTTGAACCTCCAAATCAAGTAAGAAAGGGAAAACTTATTAGATTTGAATTCTCCCTTCAGGAATTGAAGGAAATGTGCAGAGTGCTGTCTCCTTCTATTTTCCCTCTTTGTTTGGACTGGATTATTTTTGTGTTCCTGAGTGACATAGAAAATAGAATAGCACAAATTGCTCTCCACCAGCATAGCTTCCTCTGTAGAATATTACTGCGACACAATAGTTTGTCATTTCTACCTATTCTGTTTAGGAAATGTTTTTTTTAATAACCACAGCTTAACTGGTTCTGCTAGGTATTCCTCCAACTGTGAGTTTAAAAGAAGTAATTTTTTAACAAGTCCTTCAACAAATAGGAATAAACGTGTCACTGTGGTAGGAACTGCTAGAAACCCATTCTTTTTGTAATTCTTTGACTTGGAATTGTGCAAGGCTAATGAAAAATAACTAAAATACATTACCACTACCATTTTTAAAGAGCCTTATTTATAAAGTCCAGTTCAAAACTAAAAAAAAATCATATTAAAAAAATAAAGCAGAGTGTTCAAAAATCAAAAAGAGTAGCCACGTAGAGCATGTAATCAAGGTATTTTGGGCTACAAAATAATTTCCAGTCCTCTGATTTGCATCTCAATTAGGAGATCAAACATTCTCGCTTTGCAAAGGCTGAGAAATGACCTTCACAGAGAATTTTCTCTTCTTTGTTTTCTCCCATTCAGCCAATGGCTCAGACTACTAGATCAATATAAATGATAAAGCGATAGATCAGTTGATCCAGAAGTGGGATTTTTTTTTTTACTGAAAAACACTGAAAGTTCTACAGAATCAATCAACTTGATAAAAAACCTGCCCAAATATTTCTTCAGTCAATTTTTCAGAATTGTCCATTTTCTCATCTAAAATAAGCCCTTGTGTAAAGCACAGCCATTTAACTTAGTGCATGTCTTTGCTTTGGGAATTTGGGAACAATGGAACAGAATAACAGAGTTGGTAGGGATCTTGGAGGTCTTCTAGTCCAACCCCCTGCTCAGACAGGAAGCCCTATAACATTTCAGATAAATAGTTGTCCAATTTCTTCTTAAACACCTCCAGAGTAGGAACACCCACAATTTCTGGAGGAAAATCATTCCACTGATTAATTGTTCTCATTGTCAGGAAATTTCTATTTTGTTGTAGGTTGGTTCTCTCCTGAGAACATAGAACAGAATAGAATAAGAGAGTTGGAAGGAACCTTGGAGGTCTTCTAGTCCAACCCCCTGCCTAAGCAGGAAAGCCTACACCACTTCAGACAAATGGTTATCCAACATCTTTTTAAAAACTTCCAGTGTTGGAGCATTTACAACTTCTGGAGGCACTGATTAATTGTTCTAATTGTCAGGAAATTTCTCCTTAGTTCTAAGTTGCTCCTCTCCTTCCAACCATTGCTTCTTGTCCTGCCCTCCGGTGCTTTGGAGAATAGCTTAACTCCCTCTTCTTTGTGGCACCCCCTGAGATATTGGAACACTGCTATCATGTCTCCCCTAGTTTTTCTTTTCATTGAACTAGACATACCCAGTTCCTGCAACCATTCTTTATATGTTTTAGCTTCCAATCTCATAATCATCTTTGTTGCTCTTCTCTGCACTCTTTCTAGAGTCTCAACATCTTTTTTACATCATGGTGACGAAAACTGAACGCAGTATTCCAAGTGTGGCCTTACCAAGACATTATAAAGTGGATTAACACTCCGTGTATAGTTTCCATCCATTGCTTCTTGGAACATACTATTATGTATCCCCCCTAATCCTTGTTTTCATTAAACTAGACATACTCACTTGCAGCAACCGTTCTTTTATATGTTTCAGCATTCAGTCCACTAATAACATTTGGTGTTCTTCTCTGCACTCTTTCTAGAGTCTCAAGATTTTTTTTATATATTGCAACCAAAACTGGATACAATATTCCAAGTGTGGTCTTAACAAGGCATTATAAAGTGGTATTAACACTTCATGTCATCTTGATTCTAACCCCCTCTTAATGCAGCCTATGGTTGTGTTGGGTTTTTTTGGGAACTGTAGCATACTGCTGACTCATGTTTAAGGGATTGTCTACTAGGACTCCATGATCCCTGTTGCACTTACTACTGTTGAGGCAGGTATCACCTATTCTGTGCCTGTGCATTTCGTTTTTCTTTCCTAAATGTAGAACCTTACATTTCTCACTGTTGATTTCATTTTGTTAGAAGAGGCCCAATCAGTCAATACTTCTATATCTCAACCTTATCTTCTGTAGAGTT